TGAGCTGTAGGAAATAGTACAGCTTATAAAATGAGTCAGATCAACGTAGGCCGGTAAGGCAATCACTGATTGGCATGTTCAAGAACTCAGCTAACAGATCTTTCCGTATATCAAAGCTATCTTCAAGTTTTGTACAACGAAAAACCTTTTCAAATTAATATTATCTTCTAATCAAAGCAAGCTACTTTCATAGATCAAAATTGAATAAATATACCTAGGTACGAACATAGCTAATTAAACATAATGTTCAAACTATATTACTTGTACAGTTTATAATGTTTTGTTTTATCAATTGGTACCCTTGCTGTTAAAGATATTCTCGGCCTTAAATCCAATAATAGCTCACGAGGTTCGGCCAGCCCAGGATACTTAAGCTATTCCTAAATTTATGCAGAATAATCATTATAATAAAATGATAAACATAAAAGTAACTTAGAATTAATGAAAAATAAAGAAGATACAATAAATATTCTAACCGACAATGTTAGTCCGCACAGTGGTAAAAAGTTTCACTTATTTAGGCTGTTGTCCAAGTCAGGACTACCACACCGTGGCAAAAGTTACACTTAACTCAGCCAGCTTAGTTCTAAATCCATTAATTAACTAACAATGTGAAATAATATTTGTAATAAAAAATAATAAAACGAAAATTAGTACTACGTAGAATAACCATTACAGTAAATTAATAAAAATTAAAAATAAAATTAGATATATTAAATATTCTAACCAACAATGTATGTCCGCAATGAGGCAAAATTGTTGCATATTTGATTCGATTCCCAAGTAATAACTACCACACTGTGGTGAAACTTGTATTTGATTTGGCCAGTTTAGTAGCCTTAGGTTAGTCATAAGTGAAACAAATTAAGCAAAGTTTTTCAACCAGTATCTTATATAGGCTTAAGTTATTTTTTCTCTTGTTAGTCCAATTTTTATAATTTTACTTTTACCATACACGACCGTTGTTTTGAAATTAAACTGCATATACAGATTAACGTCGAAACTTCATTAAACGTCTTCTTTAATTAATTAGAAATTCATGTGAACGTAGCTTTCTTGCTTCTTTGTGATACGCATAATTGGGTCTAATATAGAAATTTACATATTTCTCAAGGAAGTCTAATATAATAATAATATTAGTACACTGTGAATTCAAGACTTAAAGTTAATTTCAATAGTTTGCTTATTCGATAAAAGAAATGAAATTCTAAAATTGGAACTTACAGCAGGGAGAATTCAACATTACCCTTACCAAAGCGTTTCTCAGCAAAAACTGCCTTTCAGAATCATGAATCCAACTTAGCTCCTGATCAATTTGTATTCTCCAGCAACTGTTCAAAAGGTCTAGGACTAATCTAACTCCATTCTGAGGCTCGGCTACAAACTCCAGGAGAAATCTTCACACAAATCGGTGAATGAATTATAACATATTACTTTACAAATAAAGTAATGAAGAAAGAAAAAAAAACAACTTTGGTAAAAAAACAAAAACAACAACAACAACAACAACGACAAAAAAAACACTTCCACAGCTTCTAAAGATTTTTTATAGTTTGAAATTTTTCTTTTACTTTTGACAGCAATATACAAGGAATTATTGAACATGAAAATACCAGAGTTACGTGAGAATAATACAGCATAAAAGAATGAAAAATTAAAATAAGTATTAAACGAACTTTTTATTGGCAGCTTGCAAATCTTCTTTCAATTTTTGTAGCAGATAATATACACTTGGAAGTTCCAGGGTCACGTCAGTGTCCTCAGATTTTCTTTTATTTTTTGGCTTAACTCCATTACTTAGTGCTACCTGGCGACGCAAATAGTAAACATAGTGCTTTGGATCAAGGTATGGCATAGGGCGTTTGTGCTGTAAAAACATGTAAATACATAAGGAACTGTTAAAACAAATATACATACAACAAATTTTATAATTCTTACTTTTCTGTCCTCCGGTGGGTCACGGGTAAGTTTACAGACTTACAATGTTGAAACCTGAACAGATGATTACGTTATAAGTTTGTAAGAAGTATTATGTAAAATAATAATTCGAAAATTAATTTGTAACATTTTCAAATTAATATTGACATTTATGGTTTGTTAACTAACAATAAAATTACAGAATTTATTGCATACCTATTTATCATAACATTTACTTAATATCACACTTTTCAGGTCTAAAGCAAAGGTTCTGTATACGTCTATATGTGCTCTTGGCAGTTTTCGACAGAGGAACATGTATGTGTCCATGGCAGTGAAAAAGACCTATGTCCAATCAGTTTATAGTTTGATTTTCCGAGACAATTTTTTTTTAATCAGTGATGAACAGAGAGCTCTTCCACTTGCCATGGATTTTTCAGTGATAATGGATAATTTACCTTCCGTTAGCCCTGGAGGTATTGGGTTATTTTAATTGTGTTAGTTGTGTACTTTTGTGATCCTATATATGCATATGTTTTTTTTTCTTTTTCCAGACAGCTGCACATCTCAAATCATTGGAAAGGCTGCGAATGGGAAGGTTTAAGTTTCAAGTCCCAGTATGATATTGAACACACTCCATACTTGTAGTCGTGGAAGCGTTATAACTATGACATTATATCCCCCTATTCAGATACGACTAGCCACACAGGCGGCAGGTGTTTCTGACTGGTTGATATCCATTCCGATTATTCTCAACTGCATATGGAACGAATACGTCTCTATAAATTCACTTAGAAATTACTTGACACGTGATATAAGCCTCTAGATTCAGTGAGAGAAGTTGATCATGGAAGTTACCTTAGCTAGAATGCCAAACTAATGTCATAAACTAGACGTACCGCTGTGTCACTGGGGGTCCTGCTTTTAGTAGTATAAGTAATAAGTTTTGGATTATTGTGATTCTTGTACATAAAAAATTGCCTGCATTCTTACCTGGACTTACAACGCTAGGAACCGGGTTTCGATACCCGTGGTAGGCAGAGCACAGATAGCCCAATGTGTAGCTTTGTAAATAAGAATATTTTTAACTTTTTCTTTTTTGCTTCAGACCACTTTTTCAACACATGGATACAATGTTTGAGAAAAATCAATTTAACTGCAAACGTTTACGTATGTCGATGAATGAAATGCCATTTATAATTATAATACTTTCAAAGTTACCAAGAGGCTTAAAAAATGTTATACAAAATCAAGTTCGACGGCTTTCGAGGTTTAAGCCGTAATTTTTGAAGATGTTTAAAATATACAAATAAAAAACACTAAAGTGAAATATAATGTGGAAATTTTTTAAAGGTTCCTCTGCATAACGGGGCCTAGCATGGCCTAATGGTTAGGGCATTCGGCTCCCAGTCTGTGGGTTACAGGTTGGAATCGCACTAACGAATATGCCCGCCCTTGCAGCTGCGGGGGAATTCTAATATGACGGTCATGCACGCTATCGGTTGGTAAAGGGTAGCCCAAGAGTTGACGGTGGGTGTTGTTGAATGGCCGCCTTCCCTCTAGTCTACCACTCCTATATCAGGGACAGCTAGCGTAGATAGTCCTCAATAGCTTTGCCCAAAAATTAACAAACAAACAAAATCCTCTACATGCCTAACAAAATCACAACAATATACTTGTACACCGACATTATATTAATAAATTGTAACAATATGCTGATATAATATACATTGTTAAACTGTATGTCCTGCTATACTTTTACGGTTTACTAGTACTAGCAGATGTACCTGTGCGATGCACAGTGAGAGGTTTATAAAAGTTTTATTTTTCAGAAATATGTCAGTGGCAATATAAAGTACATAAGAATAACATTATTCATGTCCAATGGATTTGATTATTTAATTAACATTTTATGTTACATTTTAGTTTCTTTAATCAAAAAAGAAATCCTTCAAATGATTGGTGAGATTTGAAAACGAAATGCAATTGCAGAATCAATGTTTTACCAGTTATAAATGCAAATATTGTTTCTGTTTTTCTCTTATGTATACTAGTAATGATTGAAAATACATAGACTGTATGTATACCCAATGTAATGAAAGAGGAAACTAGAGAAATCCCATCAGCACCTATAGTGGCCACCCCTACTGAGTGATCTATATTAAGCAGCCCTGGCATCTTAAAATACAAACATATACTTCTTCTTGACACATCCGAATTATTTCTAGTTGATTAAACCATATTTGACAGGCCTAAATGAAAAAGCCTAGTTGGAGTTAGAAGACAAACGAACATACAAACAAAATTCTCTCAAATTATAGTAGGACACTTTAATATTATACTGGCAAACTCAAACAATTTTACGGTAAATTGTAACAATATTTTGGTATGCTGTAGCAATGTAATGATACACTGTTTAGCCATGTGAATTGAACTGGCCTTATACTCTGAACAAAACATGCACTTATTATGATTCAGGTGACAGCATCACAGACATACCATCAGAAACCTTCATTAGTTAGAGGACAAATGAACATACAAACAAAATTCTCTCAAATTATAGTATGGCACTTTAATATTATACTGGCAAACTCAAACAATTTTACGGTAAATTGTAACAATATTTTGGTATGCTGTAGCAATGTAATGATACACTGTTTAGCCATGTGAATTGAACTGGCCTTATACTCTGAACAAAACATGCACGTATTATGATTCAGGTGACAGCATCACAGACATACCATCAGAAATCTTCATCGTTAAGCTGTTGTTCTTCTACTACTAATAAATAAGACAAAAATTCTTATACCAAAATAACAGCAAATTAATAAAAATCTTCTAGTTTCACTCCTTTGACTATCAGCAAAATACATAACTATAATGTGAAATATTCTCTGGTCTTCAAACAAGCATACAATTAGCCATATTTATAGACTGACGTACTTGAGTCGAACTACGCAGACTTCGTCTGAAAAACACTTGAAGTTCAAGTTGGTCGCTTTCGGGAGTGGACATTGCTGAAACTGGACGTTTGTTGTGATTGGTCGTCTATAGCTGAATAAAGTATCACACCTTTTTCTGGGTATTAACAGAATAGCAGAGGTGCTTTTAAGTTCCAGATGTCGTTTCTTAACAGGAACTGTAGTTAGTAGAAAGATATCAAATACAGCTGTCAGTTCTGTCATTGGTACTAGGCAGAATGCCTCGTTAGCTCTGATTTAGCAGCTATATTGTGGTTGACATATTAGACATATTAGTATACATTCTGCTTTACTTTCACTCAGAAGTTATTATTCACAGTTATTAATCTAACTCAGAAGATTAATTCCATTATTGTACAACAACAATGCAAAGCTAAAATATAACATAACGTGGTCAATAGTGATTAAATTATTTCCTACATATTTAGATATGCACGCATCCTTCTCTCTCTAGTATATGCATTCTGAATTATCAGTTCAAATATACCAAAAGAGTAAGAAATGAACTAAATAAACACTGATTAATTGAATTGATATTTGCATCGCTATTAATAAAACACAATCCGGGCGAAATTCCTTCAAAACTCCTATATGATCTAACGCTAAACAAACACTTGAACAACAGTCTTTAGAAATGCTCATGTTATTGAAAATAGAAATAGTTCGAAGCAGTATTTCTATAAACGGTTTACCTAATAAACCTTACCTGATGAACATCGAATTAAAGTTTTGTCAACAGCAACACTATAAAGAAGATAACGATGAACTTTTTTCCCATCGATTCAGAAGAATACTACAGCTGGGCCAAACTCTAAACTGTGATAGTAACAATGTTAAAAGTGCATTTATTTGTTGTTTTAGCTGACTTACTTTGTGGCATTATTCATGCATGTGGGAACAGAAGCGTGACAAGTCTTCAAAGTCTTTCAGCGTAAAGTTCATGATTTTGCTTTAAAAGAGCTGATCCTCTGTCCGAAACCAAAGCAACTATTGTGATATCCTACAAGAATTTTGCATTTCCGGGTGAATCATTCGACCGTTGAAATCAGCCAACCAAAATTTGATGTTGAGCAGAGACATAAAAAGTATTTAAAGATATTGTAAGCATACACGTGCTGATGTTATACCAAGAAAAAATTAATAATAAAAGTGAAAGAGGATTAAAAACTCAGGAAAGGGAAATATCAGTTGATTATGGATTAGTTTCCTGAATTAAGGTGTTTGTTGAATATATCAATACAGAGAGAAAAAAACAAAAACATTTTATAATAAGATAGGTAAAATTATCGAGTTTCTCTATACATAGCCAGATTCGAAATAAATTTATGCGTAAAATAGCTCGACAATGTATACTAAGTTAAATTCTTTAAACAAATATTGAAGTCAAAATATTCCATAAAACACGTTAGTTGCAATTATCATTATGTTTATTCATTATTACCCCTTTTATTAGTTTTATCTTTAGCCCTTTTTCGTTTGTTTTTTTCTTTTAAGCAGAGTAAGTATTATCGTTTTACCTGTTCCAAAACTAACATCTAAAATGGCGTAAAAGAAACTTTGAAGGTAAAATATCAATCCACCACTAAAAGAGTAACAATCACAGCCTCAAGCTCAAATTGTTCAAAAATTAAACCTTACAAAAAAACTACATAAATTGTTTACACTTATCATCTTACGTAATCAGCATACGCACACACCCACCATAGGTTTGTACAAATTGCATACTGGTATTATAGTGGTATCATAAAAAAACTATAAAATTTTATTCATAACTGGTTGAGATAAAAGGGTTAAGAGTTGTTTTGGCACCAAATTTTAACAGAGGCGTTTTCTTCTGTACAAATTCCGCGCATGTGTGTTTGTCTATAAAAATAGAATGAGTGGTTAAATTTAAACTTAACAGTATTCTTTCTTTTGTAATATCCCTACAAGCCTGTTAAAGATTGTTTGTAGTTTTACTTCTATAAGAGTATACTTATAACTTTTAAACTGTAGAAGTAAATTAGTTGATAGTGAACTTAGAATGATATTACAATGTATATATTGTTACATGTTACGCAGGTTAAGGTAAACCCAAGGATTCACTGACCGATGGTTGCAACTAATATAGCACCATGTACGTATCGTGTGCATTCATGCAATAAGCTATAAAAGGAAGGACACTGACTTTAGCATCGACACCCTTTAGTTATTACTTCCTACGAGTTGTTGCCGCAGTTTCAAACCTATTTGTTGAGCCGAAATATCTTTTAGCAGCTTGATGTCAAGAGTACACAAGGCTTAGCAGACAAACATAGCTATATAGGTACCTACATTAAACTTAACTTAAAAAGTAAGAATATCAACAGCTGTTAAAATTTAGGGACAGATTAATGATTTTTTTTTTCAGTTTTAAAAGTTAAATTGTCCCCCCCCCCCACCAGCTGCACAGTGGCATGTCTGCGAAGTTACAACGCTAGAAACCGAATTTCTATAGCCGTGGTGGGCAGTGCACAGATAGCCCATTGTGTAGCTTTGTGCTTAATTACAAACAAACGAGTTAAATCATTTTATGAGAAACGAAAATTGTTGAAAAAAACAAACAAATTAATGTATTCCCACTAGGAGCTTTCTTTGGAAGTGTTTACATTTTCAAGGTAACTTATAATTTGAAACTGTGAGCTTAACTCGCAAACTTGTTAAGCTTATGACTAAACTTAAATAAAGAATATATTTAAACAAAAACCAAGGACAGAAATATCAATAATAAAAGAATCCAAGCCTTTACATTCTGTTTTGTCGAGACTAAAGCCTATATATCAGATATGTTAATTTATCACTAGAAAGCACTAAAGTAAATATTTGTGAACTATTATATATTCTTAAGAGTTTTTTGATGAAACTCTTACGATTTAAACAGGTAGAATGACTCTGTTATTCTTTTCAGTGCATGATTTAGATTCTCCGATAACAACAATGATAATTAAAAGAAATAGACTGAATATTTGTTTTGTTCATCTGAAATATTGTATAATTATTTAATTTAGCAAGTATAGCTTATAAGTATGGATTTCTCCATTTTCCCTATAAATGTCACAAAAGGGCTTAAACAATTAAATACAAAAGTCACTGCCAATTTAAGCCCCATGGGCTCAGCGGTAAGCCTGGAGGCTTATAACGCTAAAAACTGGGCTTTGTCACCGGTAGTAGGCACAGCATTATTTAGCTTTGTGTTTAACAACAAACAAACAAAACCTGGCAGTTTAAATTCAAATTTCTTTGTTGTTTTCGATCTTGAGCATACACAAGAAACTAAAAATTTATAAGGTTAATAAATAAATAAAAAGTCCTTAAAATTAATTTATTTATATAACCAATAATATAATTCTATGAGCAAAAAAATACGCTGGTCAAATAAACATAATGACACATGCACACATATACAAAGAACCTGTAATTGGTGTAATCTGTCGAGAACCCTGATCAGAGTCCAACGGATTGCCTTCAACTTCCTCTATAAGGAACCACCTCTGCACAATCGTCGACAAATTGTTGACTTTTTTTCTGAAAATATTCACGAAAAAATGCTTTCACCAAATTGTAGTAAATGTTTATTATTGTGTTACAACTATAGATATAAGCAATTATATCATAAGAACATAATCATTTATATTTAAATACACGCACACACACACATTAATAAAAAGAGATATTTAAACGTTGCTTTGCTTGCTAGTTTGTTGTTAAACACAAATATACATAATGGGCTATCTATGCTGTGCCAGCCACGGATATCGAAAACCAGTTTTGAGCATTGTAATACTTTAGACCTACCGCTGTGTTCTTGTATTCGATGTAAAATAGAAAAATGTTGCTTTATTGAGGTATAACTTTATTTCAATTATTTTGCAATCATTCATGATAGAATTTCATATCTGTTAGATATACTTCCAAGGGGTGTAACACGTAAACTTTTAGTGCAAGGAAAATAACGTATTTGTCTTTACAACTCTTAATCTTTCAATATTTTTAAAGGGAATTATTAGACATATACACATAATTTAATTTAAACATTAACAAAGAATCATCTGTATAACAGATACATAATTAGCTGTGCGAGACGATTTGAAACGAAACTAATGTGTTGTGCGGGATGGCACTATATGTTTTCTATTCCATTAGTTAACGTGTACTTTTTTTAATTATTGTATTTTTAACATTCTCGTTTAGACGTAATGATGCGTTCAATAAACTAAATTACTCAAATTTTTTTTTTACTAGAATTGCGCTATGGGTTTGCCCATAATTAGGCTGTTATCTGTATTCTCTTACAAGAAATATTACTATTTACGTAATTAGAGAAATAGTTGTTTTTCCTGCCGGCCAATCGGATAATAGCCAAGGGCAGCTACGCTCTTTACAAGCACACAGGCCACTCGCTTGCCGTAGGACTGAGTGCAGATTTGGCTTTGTATGTGTTAATTTACTGTTATTCATTATCATATTAAAAGACAATTTTGTTCCTGGAGTTTCCGATTTTCAAACGTTTTTCCATTGTAAATATTCAACAGACCCTCACTATAGTTATTTGCTGATTTTCTTTGGTCTTTAAATTTTCTTTGTTTGTAAGGCTATAAGAGTTTCTAGAGCTCTCGTGTGGCTTAGTATATTCTAGAAATACCACAAGTATAAGTTAATGCGAGAGCTGTTAGGAATCGATTGGTGGGCTTCTATTAGAATATATCTCATGCAACTCTAATAATTAGTACTGTATTTGACAACAGAACATCACCAAGAACGTAAGCCAGTATTGTCAAAATTGCAGATATCTCTAAGAGAATGAATTACTAAGCTCAGAAGTCACTACTAAGGAAATGAGTTACATGACGTTGAGTACGAAATATGTAATAACAACGGATAAGCTGAGCACGAAACTTCGCATGGCTATGCCATTTACACCTAAATGACAGACATTTAATTTGATCCCAGAGGTGTAAAAAGTATTTTATTTTTTACTTAAATTGAAGTAAAAGTAATCTAACAAAAACGTACTTAAGTTAAAGAAAAGTACCACTCTTAATTTTTTCTTAAGTTAGAGTAAAAAAGTATCTAGTTAAAAATATACTCAAGTAAAAAAGTAAAAAGTAACATCTTTGTATATGGCCAATGAACTTTATTAGAAAAACTTTTTATAAGTTTTAACAATAATTGTTTTTCAAAGTCTTTACTGTCCAGTCTTGCTCACTTTAGACTGAAAATCAGTCCAGCGACACTGGACATTTGTTTGCAGGCAGTGGTGTATTCGTTTGTAAGAATATGCTCAGAAGGGACGGAAAAGACCTGAGCATATCCATACTACTGTTAACCGAATTGGACAGGTATGCTGATAGCTCCCTTCTCCCTATACCCTGCTGAGGCTTCTTTAGTCGTGTAAAGGAATCTTCATCACTGAAGCTCTCAACTGTCTCCTAGGCCTCAGGTAATTTCTACTCCACCTCAACCATAATGTAATCCAGTCCTGAAAATGAGAAATAATGGTTATATAAAGCTTAAGAACAGAAAAAAGGGAAACAAAAAATTAAGCCTTCACCTGTAGAAAGTGATACAAAACAGATGTTAGTGAGAGGAACAAGATGGGCTCAGAAGAGGAGGATGCTTACATCAGCCTTTAGCATTAAAAATATTGATGGTGAAAGAAAGACCATGCAGTAATAAGCATTTGTGGTAAAGATATGTAGTAGCTGGTACTCAGAAAAAATCCTTTTAAAGTAATTATTGTTGACATAAACAGGAGTAGGACACTGCCTGTATGAGATATATATAAACCTTCAATTTATAAAAAGTGTTTCTTTCACTGCACAGTTTTACACAATTAGATCACTTAAAATAGATGCATGATCTCTTGAGTGGAAAAACAGTGTTTGCAGTGCAGCTCATATCATAAGAGCTATTGACACTTGACAGAAGCTGATTACCGCTTCTGCAATCTTCTGTAAACTACGAGCATTACTTGTAGTTGATATAATGTTAGTTTCAGACTGAAAGATGTCCAGTGCCTTCGTCACTGATTTCATCACTGTGCGATATTCTCTCAGGAACTCCAGCTTTACAGGACTTAACCTGAAGCAAGTGTTAAATTAATATTTGTGTTAAAATAATATATAGTTGTACCTATCATACTTGTATAAAACTGTTCCTTAAGCCTCTCAGTCCATTTGAAATCAGGATGATCAAACATTACTATTTAACATTAAGCCTTAATATACAGTTGACATCAGGATAGTAAACATTATTTTCTTACGTTAAGCCTTTGCATATTTTACAGTTGAGTTTGAATAATAAATGAATGGCAAAATACATGATGAAAATAATGTACATACCATGACAAAAGAGAAAGACAAATCCAGCAATTTCAAAAGCATTTTAATCTTGAATGCTGAACATATATTCCTAATGGCATCTTCTCCTTCTCCTGCTTAATGTGCAAGATCCTCTCAACAGCCAGGAACGTAGAATTCCACCTTGTCTGGTTTGGCTATTTGCATTCTGCTTCAACAATTTCTGTTGCCACTGCTGATCGACCAACTTTGTTTTACAGTGTCTGACATTTTCCAAAAGCTGATTGGAACAATGTCTTGTATGAATCACTGCCCTCTACATTCATGACATCCACTGTAGCAATCAGCGGAGATATGGAGGGAGTTTATATTCAAAGATGTCGTTCTTCTTGTCTGGAAGAGCAGCATTGTCTTGAAAACTGATATCATCTTCTGGATCGCCCGAATCTTCTGCCATTATCTGGACCTGTTCTTCAATTCCTTCGTCATCCTGAGACATTCGTTCTGCTTTATCTTTTCCAAATACCTCGAACGCCTTCATAAAATTTGATCCACTGTCAGTTGTAGCCCTGATAATCTTGTCTCGGATCTGATACTCTGAATGTATATCGTTCAAGGTGTTGGCCAGGACATTATAGGTATGTAGCCACATCAACCACCTGAAGGATAGTGCAGCAGAACATCTCTGAAGACGACTGATATAAATCCACCGAGCAGTCACACCAATATAACTATGTCTTCTGGATGTCCAGCAGTCAGTAGTCGTGGCAATGTACTGCACTTTAATCATTGCATTTATCAAATTATTTCTCATCTTTGTAGTAGCCTCATTGATTCTCTTGCAAACAGTATGGGTTTGGACACGCTTTTAGAATTAATCGCAGAGAATATCTTGCATTCCTTGTTTGAGGAATCATCTGAAGTCCCAGTTTTGATTACCTTCCTCTTCCGAGCTTGCTATGTCAACTCTGAGTACTTCTGGAGATGATGTCGATGGACACGCTGTAATTAAAAAACAGCATATTAGGGGTGCAGTGAAAATGGAAATTTTCTGGGGATTCTATATTCAAGCCCTTCCCAAGATGGAATTTTTCATTAATATGATACTTTGTACCTTGTTAGAAACCAAAATTTTTCCAAGAAAATGCTCCTAAGCGCTTACAAGAGGACAATTTATTTTGTCAATGCTAAATATTAAAGTTTAATCTTTAAGTTGTAATTTCTGTTTTCACTGAGATAACCAAAACCAAAGTAAAACAACATTTTAGATTAAGGTAAGAGACAACCTTTGTATAATATTACATTGATATGTTCAATGATAAATTAAATTAACATATAAAAACCTAAATTGATTACAATTACCGAAGAAGGGTTAGCGCATGTCCTAATCATAGGGAAGTAATTCATGCTAAGTTTTAGAATGTAAAATTGTATTTGTTAGTATTGTTCATAGCACTAGTAGCTGACAGCAATATGAAATATAAATTTATATTTTCTTTTTCTCTGTCGAATTAATAGAAATGTAAGGGTTGTTTTTTGTTTTTTTTCGTTTTAGCGAAAACAAAACAATGGACTATCTGCGCTCTGTCCATCGCGGGAAAGTCTATAAACTTATTGTTGACCCACCAGCGACGAAATGTAAGGAACAGGTAGTTTACTTCCCTGTCTGTTTTACACAATTACACTCCTCTGGATTTTGCTAGAGCGTTCGGACGGGCCTCTAACACCGGTCTAAAATATCTATTCACTGTAACAGAAACTAAATTTAGGTATTTATCCAGTAAATAATTATTTATTATATAAGTATTTATTATATAAGTATTTAAAAGTAATAAATGTACATATTTAGTCATATAAAACCTTTAGAAAATGTGTCAACGAAGGGGAAGTACAACTTTTTTCGCAATAAAACTTAAAAATAAATACATTTTCTGTTCACATTAAGAATAAAACTGAAACCTAACAAATCGCTGTCTGCAGTTGCATTCAGATCTCTATATTAGCAATCCATTAACAATATATTTTAGTAGTAACAATATAAAAGTCTCCATGTGACATACAGTTCTCGAACATCGCAGTAATCTTTCAATAACAGTACAATGTAGCAGTGACGGTTTCTTTACACATCGTAGTATACATCTCCATCTCCAGTTGCAGTAACATCCCATTAGCAATTCAATGTAGCAGTAACAGGTTTCTTACACCTCAATAGTACAGATCTCCAATCGTATTAATATTCCAATAACAATGCAACGTAACAGTTTCTTTACGCTTCATAGTATACATTCCCAATCGTAGTAAATATCCTGGTAACAAAGTAATTTCTGAGTAACAAACTGTGCTTATTTTGCTCAGAATTAACGGATGGACAGTACAAGCACATCTACTTTTATCTACAGATTTGCCCGGCATGGCCAGGTGGTTAGGGCACTCGACTCGCAATCTGAGGGTTGCGGGTTCGATTCCCC